AACTCCATTAGACTGGCTTTCATAAAAACATTCAAAAGTGTTGAACCAAGTCTCTTCGTGATATGAGACTTTCGAGATATAGACCCTTGCCATGGATAGTCTATATAACATGTATTTTTTGGAAAGTTTCATATTTTGTAGAGACTTTGTTCAAAACTTTTGCATTTTTTAATGGAAACTAATCTAGTTGGATTTTCTATATGTATAAGGTTTCAGGTCAAAATCCGAAAGAAAACGAGTTATCCAAAAACCTGAATCTCTATAGAAAATAAGCATATTAAAAATTTGATAATTTTTTAATCAATTCTCAGTAGGAAACCAAATCCTTTTAGATTTTTCTATTAGAACACTGTGTAGTACTTATAGCAACAACAACAAAAAGTCATTAACATCAAAAAGAGACAATCGAATAATTTCCTTATAAGTCGTACGACAAACGTGTTCGATCATTATGTATTGAAATTTGAAGTATGAATATGACAAAAGAACGAATATAGTATCGCTTCCAAAAAAAGCTATAGGTAATACTTAAAATATCAAACAGAAAGGAGATCCTATAATAACTGAGGATAGATTGTCAACATTTTTCATATTTTTTCTTGATGTAGAAGGCTGAAATATTTATCGCATATATATCTAATCAAGAATTTTCAATTTTCAAAGTTTGAGTTCTCTAGCTAAAACTAATGTTGATATATGCAGATAATAAAACTATATAAATTTTCGAAATTGATTTTTGTAGTATCTTCATTTGTTGACTGTTGATATTTATAAACTTCTGATAGGAAGAAAGTTTACAAAAGAAATTTTTCAAAAATGTAAATTATATATAAAACTCAATATGTATGAAAATGTTCTTCATTACTTTTTATGACTAATTTTAATTGATAAAGTATTTCGTTAATCATTTTTGTTTCGAGAATTTCCTATGTTCTTGTACATTTTTTGTTTCTAAATTGTAATCGTGTATCAAAGAACACTTTTTTCGTTCAATACATCGTACAAATTTTCTGTTCTTCACACATCAGTAAATTTTGCATTCGCTTTACCTACTGATTCTATGAGTTCATTAAGTAATTGTGCTATGAATTGTCCGAACAATAATTCATATTGTTTTCAAATGGTTTAAATTCAATAGAAATCTTTTCTGTATTAGTAATTGGTAAACATTTAAGGCAAAAAATTTATCATTAAATCTGAAAGATTTTAGATATAAATACATTCCTGTATACTGTCGCAATTGACAACATTGTAAAAATGTTACAAAAATCTAGTAAGAAAAATTTTGTATGTTAATCTTGTCCGTACGTTTCAATACTAATTTTAGCTAAAAAACTGAAAATTTGAAAAATCAAAGATCTTAGTTAGATATACATGTGAGAAAAATTTCAGCTTGCTATATCAAGAAAAAAGTTTGAAAAATATCTTTAACAATTTATTTTTAGCTGCTATGAGGATCCTCTAGTATTTTCAGCACAATATTCTGTCCTTAGAATATTTCGCTTTATATTCTTCTCGACGTACACATCGATTATAGCATGATAATAACAAATATTTAGCAGTTCAACTTCAAATTGATGTGAAACTATATGCCCCACAGTTTCAACTGTTTTTTTTTCATTACTGGTATCAGTACCAGTTTAAATCGATCAAACCGGACCGGAGCAACATGAAATATTTTTCATTTTTCTCATTCTTTGCGAGTCATATTACCCTTTCGATTAGTCATACCTACCTCTGAATCCTTACAGAAATTATGCAAGGCTTCTGTGAAACATGATTGTTGAAGCATATGACGAGGAAATTAAACTTTTCTCCCAATTTACCATAAAGACCGCAGCAAATATGTCGACGTTCTTTTAACCTACTGATAGCCTGTGGCAGAGATGTTGATATGTGTGTAATTGCCTAGAGAATTTTCCCACATGTTGGTAGGGATAGCGGTTTCCTCTTAATTTATTTTAAATTTATATTTTTTAAAACTAATTTAAATTCAATTAAAATCAATATAAATTAAATTTAAAATTCTTAAAATTTATTTTTAAGATTTAATAAACTTTCGTAAACGTTAATTGATCATCCCTACAGGTTGATTTTCGGTCCCGTCATGGCCTGTCACATAGATGATGAGGATACTTCAAGGAAGAAAAAGCAAAAATTTCGTACTCATTGTACTCCAAGGGTATGTCAAAGCTATCCTATAGAACTTCTTAGCTATTTCAAATCTATCATTAACATGTATCAGGAGTATATGAGTTTGAGTTCATTTTATATAAGTTTGTTCGACAATAAAATTCAAATACTTCATTGTACTTCCCTGCTATACAAATTTTGAAGTACGATAAAATATTTGAGCTTCATTGCCACGCAGTCTTATATAAAATGAACTCAAACTAATATATTTGTGATACATCTTCATTGTAGACTTGGCATAGCTAAGAAGTTCTAAAGAATGGTTTTGTTATACTCTTGGAGTACGCTGAATTACAGTAAATAATGAATTTTTCTTAATCTCCTTTGCATATCCCACAATAGTTAAAATAGATCCATCGTATTTAATATTTTAATCCCTTAGAGATTGCTCTAAAAGCTTTTTCTTCACTATCTATTTCCATAAGTTTTCTTTCTTTTAGAATCTATCGGTAGACGTAAAACTTCATATGACTACATATTCTATATTAGCTGTGCACATTAATGAAGTGTTCGCCAGACATAAAAATTATGAATCAACTGTAGCTGTATTGTGCTGCTCACAATAGATTTACTTTGTTATCTCTTATGTCTCTGCAAAAGATATAGTATAAGTAATACAAAATGAAATATAGTATATGATTAATTACAATGACGAGCAGTGACTCTTTTTGTTTCGATCATATAACTTCATATTGAAGTGACTCGATAGAATATATTAAGCCTATTTTTATGAATATTCACTTAATAAAAATAGTCATTGACATCAGTAATAATGGTTTGGTTTGCGAAAAAATTCACTTCTATGATCAATTATTTGAAAAAAAATATATACGAAAACTCGAAAAAATCTATACTGATCATTTATCATTAACCGGACACAACTTTGCTTTGCCTCACGATAGAATACATGACTCGATCGATATAACAAGAAAGATTGGAGAACGATATGAATTAAATTTATAACAGATCAAATGGAATAGTATCATTGAAAAATCAAAGCAATATATAGAATGAAAATGAGTATGGGGTCGAAGACAGTTGAATATAAACGATGATGATCGAAAATCGGTCATGTACGAACGACAATGTCTCATTTACCTATTTCATATTACTTTTTCTCTCTATAGACACTCACGAAGGTCTATGATTATAAAACTGAGCCCTATAATATACTACAATGTGATCGTATGTCGATTTATTAAGATAATGGATTCTGCAATGTTTGTCTTAAATATACACAAGAAAAAAAAATCATCTGCTCATTTCGATTTATTAAGTTTTGCTGAAATATTATACAGACTTTAAAAAATAAATTGATCTTTCACAAATAATATATTATTCTTGTTTCTCATATCAAACATTATCAAAAGTAAACATAAATCATTAAAAAAACGATTTAAAATACATTTAATATATACGAAACTGTCAGTTTTTTTTTTTTTTATACATCATTGATTCTTTTTCCATACATATAGAACATATTTTGCTATATCTGTATTCATAGGTAATAAAGCATAACCATTCGATTATTGATAATAACCTATGTCGTTCTCAATCAAGTACATGTATGTTAAAGAAAAATGTCACATACATATTCTTGTCACTTAGCGTAAAAGGTATATTGTAAAAAGAATTATCATAGCAAATATGATATGAATAGTTTTTTTTTTCCTTAAATGCATTTACCTATTTATTTGAATGAGAGTTTTTAATTGATTGAATTTTGAAATAAAAAAAATGAATACCTTATAACTAAATATTGTGAAATAAATTAGCAATTAAACATCGATTTTTATTAATAAAAAATTCAATAATTTTAAGAATGAACATGACTATAAATTCAAATGAATTCATCGATTAAAAATTTATCCTATATCATTAATGTCAATATTTTGATTAGTTATAATATATTTTAATTCGAATTCGAAGATAAATATAACGTTTATTTAAAAGCAAAATAATTGATTTAAATGCTGATTTAAACTCTTCAATTCATTGATCAGAAGCAAAGAATTATGTTCAACTCGATTGATTACTAATATTAAATATTCATATGTTTCAATGATAGATGAAGAAGATCAAACACGTACATCTTTTAATTACTCATTGTATTCAAGCGATAAATAACGATTCATAGTAAACCATCGAATATAGTGTTCCTTTCTAGTTGTCAAGTGTTTGTCTTTATATAAACAGATTTTTTTTAATGACAAATATAATATGAATACAAGAACTTATGATAGGATCTAATATGTTTCTTTTTTTTTGTTTGCAGAACTGTTTGATTGTATATCTTATTCTGTCTTTCGTTTTATTGGACGAAGCAAAATCGACTCATGTTTGAAATCATAGATCAGTTGATGATATTATTTGAAGATGTCAAAATTACTATATTTAATTTCAATCTTTCGTCGATCATAGACAAATATACAACGATATACTATTAAAACTATTCCATAAATGCAAAAAAATCATTCAAATTTTAAAATTTCCATTGATTGCACATCAATACGTAATGTACATGCATGTGGTATATACATTCTTTTCTCATATTCTCTTTTACTTTTTTTTTTTGTCTTTTTGTTGGCCTTTTCTCATCACCAAATACTAATATATATATTCATATATTGATAGTGACAATGTACATATAATGTAGCTACGCTTGAGTGACTCCACTCGCTGTCTTCTTGCGTGCATATCGCATATATATCTATCATTGACCACAAAACTTTTTACTCGCACTCATACTTTTACTTACACGTATTCATCTACACACCTATACTCTTCTTTCTAACCAACAAAAAAAAATGAGGTAAAATCACATTCGAAACCAATAAACTAAATCTCCTTATTTTTTGTTTTGTTTTGTTTTTTTGCTAGTAGCACAAAAACTAGGTAAGATAATCAATTTAAATCAAGCTGCTTAACATAATTAAGAACAAAACTATATAGTTCTAGTTCTCATTCTGAACATCGATCATCACGTTCTTCAAAAGACTCGCATCGTGAAAAGGATGGTAATCGAGAACATCGTGATGAAAAATCCGCAACACAACAGCATCATACGGCAGTAACTAATGGTTCTTCAACAGATCGAGCTTTTAAAGATAAACATCATCCATTATTAATTGCTATTTGGAATACGGATCGAACACAAACAAATGTTGACGAAAAACTTAGAGGTCTTCGTGATTTAATTAAAAAAGGCACAAGTATGACGAAAGAAAAAAAAAAAAAACTTAAATAAAAATACAATTTCACTAATGTTCTAAATAAACATTCTTGTTGTTAAGATCCAAGTATTAGTTGTGAAATTTTACATGAACAAACGGGTACACCTATTGCACAAGTATCTCCATTGATCATTGCTTGTTTCGAAGGTGATGTTGACATTATTCGTTTTTTCATTGAAGTAAGTAGAAGAAAACAATAAAACAAAAATAATTTCATTTATATTTGGTATTTAAAGAATGGTGCTGATCCAAATCAAACTGAAAGTGAACATCATTTAACACCAATTCATGTCTTATGTGATGCTGAATATCATGGACAAAGTTTACGTGTAAGTTTATATTAATTATCTTTATTTATATTAATATTTTTCTTTTATTATTATTATTATTTAATAGCAAAAAGATCGAGCTGATTTAATTCGTTTATTAATTAAACATGGTGCACAAGTTAATCATTTAGATCGAAGTTCAATGGCAGCTATTCATAAGTAATAAAAATAAAAACAAGCAAATTATTTGTGAGTCTTTATTTTTTTTCAATTATCCTTCTCATATATCTAGAGCTGTTATTCATGATCGACCTGAATGTGTTGAAGTTTTAATGGATGCACATGCAGATCCAAATGTTGCATTTATGGGTGATACACCATTAAGTATTGCTGCTCGACATAATCGAAGAAAAATTGTTCAGTAAGATAAAAAAAGATAATTATAAAAAGAAGAAAAAATTTATTGTTTTTTTTATTTTTTTGCTTTGAAAAGAATTTTACTTAGTCATAAAGAAACAAATGTTAATCATCGTAACGATCAAGGTGGTACAGCACTTCATTTTGCTAGTGCTGGTGAGGCAATCATATAATATTAAATAATAAATTTTGTTATTCTTTCTATTAAAATGATTATTTAAGGTATTGTTGATAGTCCTGAATGTGTGGAATTATTATTAAAACATGGTGCTAAAGTAAATGCACAAGATTTAAAAAATAACACGGCTGCAATGGTTGCTTGTTTTTTTAATAAACCACGTATTTTGACAACTCTTATTCGGGCTGGTGCTGATCTTGCTGTTCGAAATAATGAAGGTAAAAAGAACAACAATATTTGTTCGATGATAATTATTTCTTTTCTTTTTTTTATTAGGCAAAGATGCATATGATGTAGCTGTTGAAAAAGAATTTGATGAATGCAAGGATATTGTAGCTAAAGCACTTGAAAAACGAGGTATTAAACCTGGTAATAAACAAAATCCAACAACAACAACAACAACAACAACAACAACTGATAAATTAACGGAAGATGTTGATAAACTTAAACTTAAACATTAGACAAATAACTTTTATATTAAATTAGACAAGTAGAAAAGAACAATTGAATACTCATCAGTCAGAGATCATTTTTGTTTTTTTCTTTTCTTTTTATTGTTCGCTTTATGTCTTATTCTTTTGTTTAATTGCATCAAATGTATTTCCTCTGTTTCTCTGTCTGATTTAATTCGCACATCTGTTTCACACTTTTCTAATGTTCAACATTTTTTAATCCCTATTCATCGACTCTCACGTCAAACTTTAGAGTACTTGAGTGTGGTATATATGCTGTTTTTTGCCCCCTATTCATTCATACTGACAACATTCTTCCTCTCACATTTTTTTTTTGTTCTATTCTTTTCAAAAATCGCTTAACATTGCCGGAGGTCTAATGCTTTTTTGAATTGATTTCCCGCGCGCTCATTTTCTCTCTCTCTCTCTCTTGTCTCCACTTGACTCATTCTTGCAAGTGTTAACTTTTTTTGTGTATGCATTACTGTTATGTATACCCGACATTGTCATCTATCGATTCTAATAAATGGTCTTTTTCGCTTTGCTTGCATAACTTCAGCTGTCTAACATGAATTTTTAAACATAACACACCTAGAAAAAAGCTTCCTTCTAATAAATCAAAATCGATCTTACCTTTTTCTTTTTTTTTTCTTGTTACTTTTTTATTTATATGTCTTGTCTAACTGTCTGTCTATTTCTCCTATTCGGACATTTTCTTTTTTTATCGATTGTCTTCTTTACGACATACATTGATTAGATCATGTGTGAATGTGTGTGCCTCTTTCCACACTAAAATATAAAAAAAAAAGGTTCGAGAAAAGAAATAAAAAAAATGAGCAGCCAAGTAACAGTCTGATTGTTTCCTGAAAATTTGACAGCATCTATGAAGATGATCTATCGATGTGCGCACACAATCATATATTTCGGCTTTCTTTCTTTCTTGCTTTTTAATTGTTTTGGAAATAAATTTTTGGAAATGATAGTCTTAGCCATTGTATTATTTCATTCTTGAACCAAAAAAGAAAAATCGTTAAGAAAAGAAAAACGATAATAGCGACGACAATCGTTACGATGATGGTTACAAATATGAAATGTGTAATAAACATCAAGAGGAAACCTTCAATTATAAAAAAAAAGAAAAAGGAAAAGAGAAGAGAAAAAAACATTTATGTGTTCGGAAAATTTTCTTTAGCTTGGTTGTTTAATATTGACAAATACGCGAATATTAAAAAAATGAAAATTTCTGATTTTTTTTTTCTTTTCACGCTTTTATAATCAATTGTGTTTTTTACTATTTTCTTGTTTTGATAAATGAAAGATCTTTTCATAAAATAGAAAAAACAGTCAGACAATGAATAAATTCTTAAATGTTAAATGAAACTTTAATAGAACATAAAACAATGAAAATGAATAGGCATGATAAAATATTCATTAAACAATTGTTTATTTTGTTTAAAAATTCATATTAATCTTTTAGTTCTTTATTCAACAAATGAAAATTAACAATGCTATCATTTTTACTAATTGCTGTTAATCCATAGTTGCAATGCATTCTTCAACATTTTCTTTCTTTCTTCAACTATCAGTTCCACAGAGATAGATAGAACATCATCATCAATTCATTTTTTTCTCTTCGTTTACTTTTATGTCTCTTTCTCTTTTTATTCTTGTTCACTCGGTCATTTTGAATCGTTTTTGCAGAAACTCATCGCGTATTTCCTGTATGTGTGTGTGTGACCGAGTTAGCGATATATTATCAAGCTTGGTAAGTAGAACCTTCGTTCGAATTCTATCTTCATATTATTGAGTACAATGACAAAGAAAAAAAAAGAAGAAGCAAGAAAAAAAAAAGAAAAGAATTTTTTTTGGATTTTTTTTTCTTTATATCGAATAGAGTGCTAACAAACAAGTGTAGCAAGCAGCAATAAGAGCTCTATCTAACAAAAAAAAAAAAAAAAAAAAACTCGAAGGAATGATCGAGTTTATCATTTAGTTCTCTCTTTTTTTTTTCCATTCCCGAACGAGCTCTTCTCTTTGTGTGCTGAGCACTAGTAAGTAGTAATGGTGCTATGCGTAGCTACTGTAGTTAGAGTGCCATCCGGAATTTGAAACTCTGTTTTCCATTCAAGATGAGACGAGAATAAGAGAGAAAAAAAAAGATGGAACGAAGAGAAAAAAAAAAAATTTCTGTCTAACACCCATTCTACTCGACTAGAACTTACAACTGCGAATTTATTTGATAGGATAGTGTTCTATTTTCTCGATAGATAGTTCAGTCTTGAAACAAGATCAGAACGCACATATAAAAAAGAAGACGAAGAAAAAAAACCGAGAAGACGAACAAAAAAAGAAGAGAAGAAAAATTCATCACATCTTTCTACAACATCTTCACTATCAATTCAACATTACATTTTATTATATTCAAAATTGGTAAGCTTGAGCTTTCACAGTAGTCTAAATGTAATTGATACTTTAATTAATAATTGAACGATAGACATGTCGACCGCTCAACAAAATCAGACTATAAAACAAAAGAATCAACAGACATAAAAAAAAAACGAAGCAAAAAAAAATAGAGAACTTTGCATGCTTATGTTATTGTTAGAAAATTAATTTGTCGCGTGTTGGGCTCGACTACACAGTAGCAATGCAACTAGAGATCAAAAATGAAATGAGACCACCATCACTATTATTCCATGTCTTGTCGTCGGATTTTTCTTTTTTTTGTTTCTTTTACAATATTTTGAGCTAATGCATAAATAATATTTTGGACTGTAGTAAAAAAAAAAAAAAAAAAAAGCGCGCGCAAGCGAGAGAGAGAGAAAAGATGAGTTCTTCTTTTTCACACACACACCAAACTCATCATATATATAAAAGATAGATTGAATGAAATTTGCGCATTCGAGAAAAAAAAACCCAGGTAGGATTAGAATGGCAGAACAAATTGAAGTAAAGCGAATGATGACAATATATTATCTCCTCGAGCATTTCTCGTATTGGTATTGGTATCATGTATGCTTGAATGATTTGTAGAAGATGTCGTCGTTGTTGAATCGTAATGCAGAGGCCAATTTTCAGAGTCATTACGCCTTCAGGTTTGAAGAGCAATCATTAGAAGAAGACGACTACAACGGAAGACACAACGAAGGCAAAGAGCCTGTCGAAAGAGAAGTCAAACACTCATATTTGACTTCCTGCAAACATGCATACAATAAAAAAAAGATCTCGAGTTTCTTAATTATGAATCAAAAAAATGAGAAGAAAGAATAAAAAAAAAACTTGAAACATATTTTCTATTTCTTTAAGTTAGACAACGTTTAAGTAATATGAAGAGTTACTTTTATCTATCTCTGTTTGAGGTCTTCCTGTATGTTTTTATTGCATGCAAAAGATATCCTGCTGCTCTTTTTTTTTATGCTATATCTAATTCTCAATTACTTCTTGTCTGTGTTGCTCTTTTTTTTTTTTAGTAATTCATTCGCTATCTCATAAAGAATAGACAATTTTTTTGCTTCTCATTCTTATCCTTTTCTTGTCTTCGGTCGTTTTAAAAAAAAGAAAAAAATGGCAAACGATCGCGTGACGTACACATTAGGGGGTGCGCTCGGATGATCCACTACCGCGTTGCGATGAGATTTCAATCGGCGTGTGTGTTGCTCTCTCTCATTTCCGTAAACTTTTTTCTCTTTTAATACACAATTGTCTTGTCAATTGTAGTCTTCATCGTTTCTCTTTCTTTTTTTTTTTCTTTCTTTTTACTTAGTCTTATACATGTATTTGGAAGAGTATAATCGACAAATTTTTTTTTCTTGCTAACAGCTAAGAGAGCGAGAAAAATCTAATAATATGAAAATTTTCGATGACAACGACTCTTATGTTGGCTCTAGCCCCTGATGATTGTATGGTGGATGCACACACGCACTAGACACTTGTTGATTGAAACATGTCGAGCTATTTCTAAAAAGTTTACTGTTATCTCTATTTTCCCTCGGGTGCTTATAATAGAAGGTGCGACACGCAGATCAGTAATGATGATAGTAATCTCTGTTTGGCAATTGAAAATAATAAATTAAACTAGCAAATAATGCCATTTTTTTTTTCTCTTCTTTTTTCTTAGATTGTTATAGAAATTGATCATTTTTCATGTCTTTGAATGTTTTAAGAATAACAATAACACAACAGTATCCGATCTCATTAGAACGATTTCTTTTTTTTTTGACAAGCGAGTGTGATGTTTCTGATTCTTGAACTTTTTTTTTTCCTTTTTCAGTTTATATACATATATATATATATACTATATATATGTATGTGTTGTTATATTTCATTTTCTTATTTCTTCAATCGACTTGCTCGCTCTTTCATTTCTCTTCGTCTCTATCGAGTTCTTTCTCACTCAAGTAGGCGGGCATCATGTCCGGAGAACAGAAACATTGAAATTGTGTGTGTATGTGAATAAAAGCAGCAATAGCGATGGTGACAGTTCTCTTAGTTTTTTTAATATATTTTTGATGTGAATATAAGGAGAATGAGAGAGAGAGAGAAAGTTTTTTATTTGCAAGTTTAAGTATAGGATCGATTTATGCGTTTTATGTGCTCTTTTTCATTCTATTTGATTCTTCGTACATATATTTTGATGGCAGCAGGTTTTGTCGGTTCTTCTTCCTTTTTTTTTTTTTTTCTTTGCTATTCAAATCAAAATTGAGAATGCTCGTTCGTTTTCTTTTTTAAACAATAACATAACAATAGAAACCCAGAGTATAAGAAAGAAAACGTTCTCAACTTATATTGATAAGAATTCCGAGTTGAGGTGACGTATGTTGTATATATATATGTTGACATTTTCTAATTTCAAGACATGATTGAACATGGCCTCAAGTTTGCATGCGGTCGCTGTTGTTCACCGGGCTCGAGAGAGAAAAAAAGGAACATACACACTTGACAGACAATATCAAATAATAGTAGTATGTGAGAGAAAGAAAGGATGGAACAAAATTAAATTTTTTTTTCTT